ATTGAGTTCCTCAACTGTTCTAGCACTTGTATGGATTGTCGAATCATCAGCATACATGTCTGTGTTGGAATTGGCATATAATGGAAGATCATTGATAAACATTATAAACAATAAAGGTCCTAGAATACTTCCTTGGGGGACACTATACAGAGAAGATTTCTTAGATGACAAAGTTCCTTTAAAGTGCACACATTGGTCTCTTTCTTGCAGGAAAAGATCTCGCTATTTCGTTCCAATTCCACATCTCATCAATAAATATATTCTTTTGGTCCGAGTATGAGGATATACTTTAATACTAACAGTTAAATAAATATAAACCACATTGGTCGGTCTAGAGATATGAATTTTCTTGTAGGCTTAATATTGCCACGCCGCCCAGGCGTGCTTTCTTTGTAAGTTGAAATCTGATCCAACTTGCTTGAATTGTAACTCAACACTAGATTATAGAGCAGAAAGTCACATCACGATAAATATTAATTTTTAATTTCAGTTCTCTTCACGATTTCTTGTTGCAAATTTAAATTTCATCACACAGAATTGCAAATATTGTTACAAACGCGACAAACACGCTCCTCTCCCACCCTGCCCATAGTATCATTTTAATTTATCACCCAGAATCTGGGTGACACGTGACCAGCCGAAACCAGGGTCTTTCCTTCGCCTCGCGCCGTTCTAAGAAAGTCCCTGGGAACGAGGTTGATGGGACCCAAGGGAATATTATCCTCAGAGCTCTTTTTTGTATCATTTCGAGATCGTCTGATAGATAGGCGGTTAGACTGTCGTGGAAGACTGGGGATGCATACTCCAAAATTGGTCGGATGCAAATAGTATAGAATTGAACTAGTTCCGTGATGCCGATATTAGATTTTTTAATTGGCTTAGGAAGAACAGTCTTTTCCGCGCTTTTTTGATGATTTCGTGAATATGATTATCCCACTTCAGGTTATTGGAGACAGAGACCAAGGAGCTTTACACATTCAACGACTTCGATAGGGTTGTTATTAATTAGGATAGGTTCGAATTGCGGTGTATTCCGATTAAATCCAATACGTAGTTCTTCGCACTTTCCCTCATTTAGTTGGAATTTATTAGCTTTTGCTTGGATAGTGAATTGATCAAATTCATTTTGAATGTAACTTGTATCTCCTTTTTTGATTGATTCCGATTAGCTATATGCCATTAACAAATATAACGAATTTAAACATTATCTGGATAGTGGTGGATTTTTACTCGTATAAGCGTACACATTGTATTTTTATATATTATATGTATTAATTATTAGGTATAATCGCATGAAATTATTTTAATCATTCTTGTAAAATAATACTTATATTGTAATGCGCATATCAATTTAGCTGTTAATAGCTATTATAATTGTGCAATTTTCATAATAATAACGACGACGACGACGACGACGACGACGACCATCATAACAACAACAACAACAACAACAACAATAACAACAACAACAACAGCAACAATAACAACAACAACAACAACAATAACAACAACAACAATAATAATAATAATAATAATAACAAAATAATAATAATAATATTTATTTTTTATCAGTGAAATTGAAGCAATCTGATTGGCTGAGGAGCCTTTCAGAGCGGGCCGGTGTTTTGCATCCGGCCCGCTCTGAAACGCAACTGCCCGCTGTGAAATGCAACTGCCCGCTCTGGTTTTCGCGGCAAAAACTGAGGAGTGAAACAATTTTTACACGAAAAAATCTGCCAAAAACGTTTGAAAAACATAGCCTAACGATAGTCAGAATACAAAAATGAATTGCATCAAGCCCTAAAGGCTTCATTGATAGAAATGCGACTGAAAGTCGGAAAGTAGTTGACATGTATAAAACTTACGTCGAGAAAACTATATATTTTTTAAATGCTCATGTATTCGGCCACTTAAAAGCGAAAAAAATACAGCTTAATAAACAGATATTGTAAAATAAATGTTTTCCCATTTAAAAGAAGGTTTAACGGCAGCAGTGAAAACAACTCACGAATATATTCTCTACCCATTTGTATCATGTATTTTTCACTGATATAAATATTGTAAACAAATTAAAAGTTTGTGTTTAAAAACACTTTTTTCAAGCATATTATCGTGAAACGACAACAAAAAAATACAAAAATATAAAAATAACATACCTTTTTCATTGTCCTTTCAGTAGAAAAACGTTAATTAAATCAAAACAGATTAATTTATTTTTATATGTTTTTGATCGGATCTGAACATGAACCTGTCGTTGTCAGGAGCAACTTGTCAAAGCCAAAGCCAAAACACCAGGCATAAAAGATTTTATTCCAAAGCTTCTCTCAGTTCTCTGCTACCATATTCATGAAAAAGCATGTACATATTTACTGAAACTATACGTCTTTTTGTGTGTTTCTTGCCAGTTTTCTCGAGTTTTCGTATTCGTGTTTTATATCTTTTAACTTTTCAATTTTTGTCAGCCTCGCTTTGAAAATACACAACTGCACTGATCTGAAATTAGTTCGCAAGCAACACTGGAATTTTAATCAATTTAATTTTTACATCTGATAAAAAATAAACACGTACGTTATTTACCGGCAGCTTCGGTCCGGATGAGAAAAACTGTGCCCTCGGTCTTGAAAACGTCCCTCGCCTTTCGGGCTCGGGCCGTTTTCAAGACCTCGGGCACAGTTTTTCTCATCCGGACCTCGCAGCCGGTAAATAACATATATATCCCTGATAAAACGCAAGGACACTTTGTACCAGATATAATAAAAAATACTTTGCTAAACCTTTTTGGCCATCATTCCTTTGCATTCAAGGGGCGAGGGTGAATGGTGATAGAATTATATAGGAGATGCTGGGCAATATTTTGGCTTCTACAAACAGGTACCCGTGCAGACAAAAAAGGAAATGCCCAAACAACTTTGTACGTTAACACTCCTTCCTACCTAGTGTTTAATATAAACGATGATAACTTTTTAAAAAAAAATCTAGAGCACTATGTCTACAAACAGTTTTAGAATCAATAGAATGTCCAAATGTGTCATGTTTGCTGTAAGACCAGCAAAGCGCTACAACCTACATGGTCGCTTTTGAGACCTCTATTCTACAAAATTTTATATACCGTTTCCATATGACAACAATTCAATGGCATATTATAAGAATATTATAAATATCTGAACCAGAGGTAGAACAGAAACGTACGTCGTGAAATGAAACTGTGCCCGAACCCCAAGAGAACAAAAGGACAAATATTTCAAAGCATACGATCATATGGTTTCGTTGCTTGATTTCCTGACTTGTCTGTTGCTATAAGAATCTGCAGTTTAGCATGTTCGTATAATTTAAAAGCAAAGCAAGTATTTAGCAAGTATTTTGAAGTATATATAATCGAAGTGCGGAAGTGGAAACATGTAATATGAGACTTTTCCATCCCCCTCTTAGGCTATCAATTTTCTATGGGTCATGTGACCAGCTCCGATCAGGGCCTTTCTTCCACAAGAGGGAAGAGCCTGGGAACGAGGTTGCTTTTATGGCTTACTGGGTGATGAGACTGTCGTGTGACAAATATTAGCAATTACTGCCGATACTGGTTGTTATTTGCTTCTCACTTTCATTAACTTTTGATAGTTTTATTTCTTATAGCATAATTCGCATAATATAAACTCATAACATGTATATACTCTATCTCTAAAATCCCGTGTCCTACACCTATTTTCGCGCCCTTTTTCTTCGTTCCCAGTTTTCCCTGTCCGAGCAAATATAACTAAAATATTAATGTCAACAGTAAGTGTCCAACATCTCCTCTTCTCTGAAAGTTTTTTCTTTATAAATATACCGTATATACCACGTTCCCTTATGTGTCTATGCCTAGCCTGTCAGGTTTTTTAACTAACCGTCCACTACGGGTTTTGCTTGTAGAACTTGTTTCGGTACTTGTTTCATTGCGTTCTAAGTGTGCTGGTTGAGGGTTTTCTTGGGGTAGATCATTGTCAGTACGTACAGAAACGTTCTCTTCCGCTTCGGACATGTCTGACATCTTTTCATCTGCGTTGTCACTACCGAATTCTGCAGGTAACCTTGATCGTCGGATGAATTTTCTGTTTCTAGTATAGATATACCCTTTGCATTGGACTTCATATGATCTTATCCCGGCTTTGCGTACGACTATCCCTCTCTTCCATTTCTTTTTGCCGATTCGGGTTGGCTGTAGTCTCACCACTTCTCCTTTCCGCAACGGGCTGAGCTCTTTTGCGCCACGATCGTGGTATTTCTTTTGGAGCTGTTGTCTTTGTTGGATGCGTTTGTTTGCTTGCGAATTTATCTTCGGTTGGAGCAACTTCTCCGAGACGGGCAAGGGAGTCTTTGTTCGGCGGTTAAACAGTCGTTGTGCGGGGCTTGTTTCATGGGTTGTTTGGGGGGTGTTTCGGTGGGCAACAAGGGCAAGGTAAATGTCATCGTTTGATGATTTGCATGTTCGAATTATTCGTTTGGCTTGCTTGACGGCAGATTCGGCTTTGCCGTTGGATTGGTGGTGATAGGGACTGGTCGTTATATGCTCAAATTGGTACTTCATAGAGAAGTCTCGAAAGTCATCACTGATGAATTGTGAGCCGTTGTCTGTCACGAGAGTATTTGGAATACCGAACCTGGCGAAATGGGGCTTTAGTTTCTTTATGACTGCCAGTGATGTCAATTTTTCAAGGCTGTCAACTTCGAAGAAGTTCGAGTAGTAGTCCACTGTTACTAAATACGATTTCTTTTCAAATTCAAAGATGATCAACCACCGATATTTGCCCATGCTCTCTTTGGTATTTCATGCGGTATGAGAGGTTCTTTCGGCTGCTTGGAAGTGAATGTGTCACAGGTGATGCAATGTGAGATGTGGTCTTTCAATTCTTGGTTCAGGTGTGGCCAGTAGACGGTTTCTCTGGCTCGCCGACTTGTCGATGCGATCCCTTGGTGTGCTGCATGCAATTCATTCAGTACTTGCTTTCGTAGTGATTTTGGGTAACGACGCGGTCTCCCCTAAACACGAGGCCCTCTTGTGTTGTTAGTTCGTCTCGTAGATGGAAGTACGGGGTGATTGTTGGAGATAGATCTTTGGAGCTTTCGGGCCATCCTGACTGGATGAATGATTTGACTTGCTGTAGGTCTTGATCTTTCGTTGTGTGATCTTGGAGTATGCATGGTTGTTGGTTCACAATTTAGTATTTCGTTGATGTCTTCCGAACTGTCCATTTGGTCGAGATCGCTGTTGACGCTGCGTGCTTCGTCGGTGGAGTTGTCTAAATGGTGACGACTAAGTGTGTCAGCTAGCAGCATCTCTGACCCTTTCTTATAAACGATGGTTAAGTCATATTGGTGTAATCTCATCATCATCTTTTGAAGACGTCTAGGTGCTGCTGACAGAGGTTTCTGATGAATGACTTCGAGCGGCTTGTGGTCTGATTCTACTGTGACTGGTCGGCCATATGTATACTGGTGAAAACGCTCGGTTCCATAAACTATAGCTAACAGTTCCTTTTCTATCTGAGCGTATTGTATCTCCGCGTGCGTCAGTGCTCGGCTTGCAACTGCGACAGGCTTTCCCTCTTGAATGAGTGCGCCCCCCAGGCCGTGGTCGCTAGCGTCACACTGTATTATCAGGGGTTTGGTCGACTCGTAGTACTTGAGGACTGGCGGTTCTGTGATCAATTTCTTTATTTGGGTGAAAGCGGCGTCATGCGATTTGTCCCAATCGAAAGGCTGATTCTTTTTGTGAGTTGTCGTAGTGGTTCAGATACTTGTGAGAGGTGGGGAAGGAACTTGGCAAGATAATTAACTGTTC